CGGGTGGGGGAGCTGTGGTCACGTGAGCCGGCCCGGCGCGCGCCGTGGAGTTAGACTTTCTGTTTCCCGTTAATTAACTGCCCATTTCGGGGCAGAAGGGCTCCTTCCCGGAGCCCTAGGGACGGGAGAACAGTTCCCCGGCGCTGTCCCGGGGGAACCCTGCTCTCCAAGCGCTCCCGTTGCCCTGTATTTTATGCGCCCTCCGCCTGCGGTCACCGTCCACGCGCGGTCTTTTGAGACCTTTTGGCTAAAAAAATGATTCCAACAGCCACCTCGAGCCTGGAAGGGCTTTGCTGCTTTTCTTAGGGTGACTGCCTTGACACGCTGCTCCCCCAAGTCCTGAACAGCCAGACACCTTTCAGCTGTTTTTCTTTTTTTTTTTTGGCGTTTTCAGACCCTGCAACAAGGGCCCTCTTAGGAAGAGAAAGAGCTGGAGTTGGTTGAAGGTCATCTGAGATATGCTCAGAGGGTTTAATGTCTCACTAATGTGGATTCCTACCCGAGATGACTGCGTGATGACTTAGGTAATGGTCCACCGCGCTGAAATCAGTCAACAGTAGTGGCAGGAGTGAGGTCATGGTGAAAATCCCCCTAAACCGGACACTGTTGCAGTCTTCCCAACAAGGAAACAGATAAGCAAACAGACTGAGGACGAGGACGGGAGCAGGGAGATTTTAGGTTTCCTGCCAGATTACAGAGGATATGACCAGCCAAGGGACTTTTTTATGTCTTGACAGTAGAATCAGGCAGGACACCTGACAAAGCTGCCCAGAGACACAAGTGACAGCTGAGTGGGCAAAGAGGCTGGGGAGCAAGGATTCTGGAAGGTGATTTTTTTCATTCTTAGCTTTTAGTTTGGAATGGAAAAAGCCTGTTGGTCTGCCTCTGTTTTTGGCAATACTCCTGTCTTGGACTCTAGTTCAGAAACTTCCTGTGTGTTAGGGAGTTGGGGTAAGAGGTCAGCAATCTGAGAGGCTTACAAACAGGTATAAGTAAAAAAAAATCAGTGCTGATCAGTTACTGTCTGGGTTTGGGTTAATGACTGAGAAGTCCCATGACTCAGTAAACTGCTGCAGTCCACAGTGCCTGTAGTAGGATTATCTGCTCTTACTCTGTCTGAACCTGTAAGGTGGACAACACACGGTCTGATATCTGGATCGATAGGGCAGTGCTGTCAGGCAAAATGTGCAAACCTGCCCTGGGTAGGAAGATCTCTCTATAGTCTTGGCTAGTGTTAGGGAAGCCCTGTTTTCCAGCCGTGGAAGGGCATGGCTCCTGCTCCTGGGTACTGTATCCAGATGGACTCCTGGTGTTAAAGACAAAGGAGAGAAGCTTGTTAAGTAGTTAACATCTATTTTTTTCTCCTCTCCCAAACTGTGTGCATCCTAGCATGCCTACGAGGCAGGAAGGTATTCCTGCCCAGCCAGTTCATGTTGTGACAGGCACAACGGCAGAGAAGGAGATTCAAAGCCCTGCATGCAGCCGTGCCTGGGAACAAGCTAGGCTCAGAGCCTGGCTGCCCTTAATGGGTGTTTTTGAAAAAGAGACCTCTTTGGGCCCAGCCTGGGTATAAAAATGAGTTAGAGGCTTGGTGTTTCTTCAAAAATTTAAATGTAGACTTGCCACTAGACCCAACAATATGCCCCCCTCCTCCAAAATAAAAATAGATGTTCAAACAAAAATATGTACATTCATGTTCATGGCACCACTCTTCACAGTGAGAACGTCCAACTGTCCATCAATGAATGAATGGGTAAACAAAATGTGAAATATCTACACACAATGGAATTAGCCACAAAAAAGAATGAAGTGTCGATACATGCTACAGTGGGGATGAACTTCGACAATACAATATCAAGTGAAACAGAAGGCCACATCTAGTAAGGTTCTACTTCCGTGGAATGTCTAGAATAGGCCAACTTATAGAAACAGCAGATTGGTAGTTGCCATGGGCTTTGGGATGAGGGAAGAATAGGGAGTGAGTGCTTGATGGTACAGGGTTTTCTTTTGGATGATGCAGTGTTTGAGACTGTACAGTGATGGTTGCAGGACATCGTGAATGTGCTAGGAGCTGTAGAACTGTATACTCTAACATAACCAGTGATGAATTTTATGTGAGTTGTAGCCACAATAAAAAGAAATGAGGCAGGGGAAAAGTATTTTCCATAAAACCATGGCATTGTTTAACACTGAAGTACACTCAGTGTACGATATTCAACGAACAAAAGTGCCGTGGTGTTCGTTTTTAAAGAATACTAGCATCCTCATTGTTAGCCGGGCGAGCACATCTCCGGCGGTTGCTGCAGGTTACCGCATAATGGTATTCATGGTAGTTTCATTTTTAGATAGAGTGTTTCACAACTGAAAAAAAAAGAAACTTTTTAAGGGTGATGCTGTATTTCCAATGCGCCCAGATGTTGATTCATTGGAAACATCTGTATTGCTGCTAGCCAGCGAATCCCTATGCAAATGAGAGATTCAGATGCCCTGCGGAGCTGGAATGAAATGACTGGAATAGTTGATTAGTTGCAGTATTCTTTTCTTTCTGGAAACTCAAAGTTTAGTGGCAAACAGTCTTGCAAGATAAACAATGAAAGATTTAAAAAAACGAAATACCTTTCTAGATGGCTTTTATTCTCTTGTCACCTAGACAGGAACAAGCCCTTTCCAACAATCCTGACATTCTTGACATCTGCCATTTGTTAACTCTTCTGCTGGAACTGAAAGATAGGCTTCTATTTTATAGTGACAGTTTATTTTTAATTTAAAAAACAAAACGGTATTACTGGGGACAGCAGATGGCATGATGGTTACAGCACTGAACTCCCACGTAGTTGACTACTGGTTCAAGTCCTGGATCCAACAGCTTAAACCTCACGCTGGACATGTGTGCATGTGTGCCAAAAATCTAGAGGGAAGAATGGAGTAGAAGGGATTGCAGCCTGGTCATTCGCTTGTGTATGCGTTGGGGGGTGATTTCTCGCTTTCTGTCTCCAGCAAGTGCACGCACCCTATAGCAAAAATCTCTCCTAAATAAGTAGATAGTATTGCTTAGCTTATTTACCAGTCTTTGTGCCAATAACTTGAGGCTGTTTACAAAAATTGGGATTATTCACAAAGGACAAAAATGTGTCACCCACAGACATATTCAGAAAAATCCTGCCAGAGGCTCTAGGAACAGCTCCAAAAGAGGAGTTAAAAAATTTTTTTTGAATGATGGGCAATATCATTTAAATGAGTGTTTTCCCTGCCAGCATGACTGCTCACTACTCAGCATGGGGCAACACCCTTTAAGATATGTTTATTTAAAAATCAGTCCCATTACTTGATGGTCAAACCTTGTGTTAATTTTCTATGAAGGATGATGACACACCCAGTGTTCTTATTACACAACTCTTTTCTGCCGCAATATAAAATAAGTGGGTTCTAACCCTTTCTTACACATAAAACAGGCATGGCGTTTTCATACCTTCCTTCCCTCATAGGGCAAGAAAGGGAATTACACATAAAGGGAAAGAAAGGGAATTCCCAATCCCGCCCATGTCCGAATCCCTTCCATGTTTGTATAATGTTTGAAGTGTCTCGAAGCACTTTGACCTACTTTATCTCATTCTTTGCTCACAATAGCCTAGGAACACCCAGCGTTCACCTCCTTCCACCCGGTGCAAGCTGGGAAGAAAACCCTGAAGTGACTCTCTTAAATCCTCCTTCACTCTGGCCAGTTGCAGAGTCCGGACTGCATGTTCCCTGTTTGACTCTTACTCCAGTGCATTTTCTGAAACACCCAAATTACCGTAATGCCCAGAATGCTCAGGTGTTTGAAGCTCAAACCTGAGACAAGGTGCTAACTATACTTACCCTGAGGAACCGGAGGGTCCAGTCATTTGGTTGGTTGGTTGGTTGGTTGGTTGGTCTGTTTTTCTAACTTCTTACAGACCAATTGCCATCTTGAAGTTCCCCAGCTCTGAGGCTGATGGTAGTAAGATGTTCCATACTTTAAGATCAGACTCTGGTTTGTAAAATGTTCCAGGTGGCTGCTGGAGAAATCAGAAAAAAGAAGCTAAGAGTATGGCCATATTTAATGGCGTGTGTCAGGCCCACGTGTTATTCAGTTAACGTGAGATGAAAAAAGACAGCTTTAAAAAAAGTATGTGTGTGTGTGTGTGTGCGTGTGTGTGTATACACATATATGTATATATAAAATGAGGTTTGATGTTGCCGTGACCAGAATAAGCCTCTCATGTGGAAAGTTTCAGATAAAACTACACATGTGGAATTAAATTGGTGGTGGTTTTGTTTGTTGTTGTTAATAATGGGAAACATGACTTTAATTATTGGTTTTATTTTTCTCAGCCTCTGAGAAGGATCCATGAGCTGCTGTTGACCAGCTGAGACCTCAGCTCATCTGAAGTCAGAAGCCTGCACTGTCTTAAAGACACACACCAGCACTTATATAAACTCTTGCTCCTTGCTTACTGTATGAGACCCGCTTACCAGCAATCTGTTTATATAACGCTAAACACAAGGCGTTGCCTGTAAATCTGAGATTCCTTCTGAGAAACGCGAACCAAACCCCCTCTCCTTTCTTTGCCCTTATAGCTTTTAAAGGAGAGTACTACATTTTATGTTTTATTGCCTGAAAATGGGCTGCCCCTTGCCAGAAACAGGTAAGGACTCTGTAACGTAAGTTCTCTTTCTCCAGGGAAGTCCAAGTTGGCAGTCTTAATTTATTCCTGCATCTAAAATCTGCTCCCAGCCTGATGGCAACAGTCCCTCTGCCCTCCTCCCAACCCTGAATTTGCAGGCTTGGACTTGCTGCTTCCAGCAACTACACTCCTGGCTGGCTCCAGGTAGTCACATGTCACAGCCTGTGGACCTGGCCTTTGCCTCAGTACAGAAAGCCAGGGAGCGTCAGCTGTTTAACCTCATCGCTGAGCAGAAAGGGCTCATCAAGGGGTTCTGGGAAGTGGTCCGTGGGGCCTTTGTCAGACTACGGCAGGCCAGCTCCTGGACAAACACTATCATCAGTTCACCTTCCTTCAACACCTCCCACCCCCTGTGTCAGCAGCTAGCTCATGGTAGGATTCAGGGAAAGGCATTAGTAGCTGAGTCAGAATGACAGAATCTGAAGGCTTGGAAGATGAGGCACTCGGCCGAGGTCCGGCTTTCACTTTAGTTAGGTTTCTCCTGGCCTCGGGAAGACAAGATCAGAGGAGGAAGTACAGCGAGGGTGTTCTAGTTCATTCTGTTACTAATATCAAAATACCTCAATCTAGGTAATTTAAGGGAATAGAGTTTGATTCAGCTCACCATTTTGAGGTCCAAGGTCCTGAGGCCATAAATGGTGAGGGTTTTCCTGTTGACACGGTTCTGAGGCCATGCAGGGCATTGTATTGGGACAGCAGAAGAATGGATATCTCTGTCCTTGTCTCTGTCCTCAATTGTGGGGGGCCCACCCTAATCACTAATCTCCTCCCAAAAGCTCCATCTTTCTTTTTTTTTTTCCCATCTTTTAATACCATGATTAGATCAAGTTTTCACCCTCTTAATCTTGTTACAATCAAATCTCAAGCCATGGCGGGGGAGGGGAGACACACAAACCGTATCAAGGGGGAGGTTGTTCAATGTGTGCCAAGCAGTTTTGTATCTGTGATTGTTTTCATTTCCTAATAAACAGAACCGTAATAGCAAAAGCTCCCTTATGTCACGAGGTAATCCTTTTCTTGTCTAAACCAATACAAATACTATCAGATTGCTTGCTATTCATTTTGTCTCCCAACAAAGGAATGTATTAGGTCATTGGGAAAGTCATGACGTGTTTTTCTCTTTTTATTTCTTTTATTATTTTTTTTATACATTCAATCACTATACATCAGTTGACTTGTAAAGAGAATCTACCCAACATGAAATACACCTCAGATCAATCCAGTTGAGGCTACTGTACATGTTATCAACAGGTAAGAAACCATTACTGTACTCCACAACGGTCTTGCCGCTCTGTTTTTCCTCCCTAATTTCCTTCTAACCATTACTGTACTCCACAACGGTCTTGCCGTTCTGTTTTTCCTCCCTAATTTCCTTCCCTATACTCTTCACCTCTCCCACCCTCCTGCCACACTGTCTCCAATGCATGACGTGTTTTTCTATGCAAAAATGTGTCATGACTTTCCCGACAACCCAACGGTATAGTGGAGAGAACTCAGGTTAGAACTCAGTGAATAGATTTGTGCCTTGCATTTTTTTTTTAATGTCTTTTCTAAATTTTGGGGTATATGCACTCACTGGACAGAGAGATAAATCATCCCCTGGGGTGGATAGCCATGCCATAATCTCTTTTCTTCCATTGTCTTGTCAGGATTTTAGGCACACACACACATGCACCTGGCATGATTTTCAAGCTGCCAGGTCTGGGACTTGAACCACAAAATCAGCCATGTGAGATTCTGCTGCCTTATCCAGTACACCATTGGCTGACCTGCCTTTCTTTTTTTTTTAATTAAATTTTTGCTATAAGGATGTGTGCACTGGCTGGAGGGAGAGAGAGAAAGAAAGTGAAAAAACATTCCCTGGGGGGATGGCAACACCATGGTTTCTTCTTTTCCTTTGTCCTCTTGGGATTTTGAGCACTCACACACATGCACTCATCCTGTTCTCCAAGCTGCTGGATCCAGGATTCAAGCCGCACTGTTGGCCTTGTGAGATTCAGCAGCCTTAACCACCATGCCACTTGCTGACCCCTGAGCTTCTCCTGTCTTGTCTATAAGATGGGAATAGTTACAAACTTCTTGTGCGAATTAAATTATAGAACAAGTGTACTTAGTGTTCATTAAACGTGAGGCTTACTTTTAGGCTGTTTGAGGAAGGAGCAACCAAAATTCCTTAAAAGCTCTTTGAAGGACTAGCAGGTGGCATGATGGTTAAGGTGTTGTATTCCCACATGGTTGAGCATGGTTCAAGACCTGGATCTGGCAGCTCGAAAATCACAACAAAGAAATAGGTGAATGTTAAAAAGAAAAAAAAAAATCCCTTTGATGATTTAGCACTGTTGTCATCAAAATGTTCTCCCTATAACTTTCCTAAACCTCTTTAATGGGCTTTAAGTTTTTTTTTTTTTTTTTTTTAGAGATTTTCGCTATAGGAGGCACATGCACTTGTTGGAGAGACAAACAGAAAGCGAGAAGTCACCCCCTCATGGAGGACGGCCATGTTGTGATCTCTTTCCCATTCTCCTCTCAGGATTTTGGGCATGCATGCACACGTGCCTGGTGTGTTTCGAGCTGGAAGATCTGGAACTCAAACTGCAATTGACCACGTGGGAGTCCAACAATGTAACCATTATGCCATCTGCTGATCCCAAACTTATTTCCTCTCTATTCTATGCCCAGGTTCACTATCAGCTGCTGATGTGTCCCTCAGTAGGCTCTTTCTGACAACAGGGCCCAATGCAACAATGAAAAAAAAGACATGCATATCAGGGGTTGTCCCCAAAATCTTAACTCTGCAGAGGGACAAAATTTCTTAGTTGCCACCAGGAGCCTAAGGAATTGCCTCATCAGCTAGAGAGCAAAGGTTCAAGAGCTAGTGGAAGGGTTTGTAGGGATTGGGCTTTGTTTCCTAATTTGTAGGGAGGGTATAATGATCTCAGACTCTTTTCATGGGGGTTATGTGAGAGCAGGCTTTCAGTTCTTGTGACTTGTTTCCTCTGTCAGGGGATTTACTTGTGCAGTTGATGAACTGGTGTCCGTGTCATCAAGGTCATGGGTCATGGTGGGGGTGGGGGGGGCTCATGGCACTGCATGTAGATACCTCAGCTCCTTCACACACACCCATGCTCTGGACACTGTCACCCCCAACAGCCACCATTGGGCAGCCTAGGGCTTAGGGGTGGGCACATGACAGCTGCTTGTTCTTCACCCACACCTAGGGAAGTGGACTGGACCTGCTTAAATAGAAGCTTTGGGTCCCCAGTACTGGAGTTTGTTGGGGAGGGACCAGAGACCACAGGCTCTTGCATGTCCCTTGGCCTTGCTCCTTGGATGGGGACAGTGCCAGAGAAGAGCCAGAGCAAGACCCTCTGAAACTCAGGCAGGCAGTGGCCTCTCTTGCCTAGAGCTAAGAGTGGTATTGTCTGGAGAGGTGTAATGCAGTAACACCTCAATTGCCTCATCTCACAGGGTCTGAACTAGACCTCAGAAACTTCCACATTTTCAGACTCTCGAAGGTAGATCCCAGTGGAGAACGGTCAGCTGAAACTCTGCATTGAAGTCATTCATTGGCCAGTGCTTGAGGACTGTGTGTGCCCCTCCAGTGGGAGCCCACTGAGGCTCTGGTTGTCACTAAGCCAAGAGCACTTTACAGAACAGCAGGTGCATAATGCATTTTAGACTAAGCCTCAGTTATCCCAAACCCTGGATCTCTGCTGAAAAAGAGAAAGTTATCTCTAAGGAGTTAAACCAGAGGAGATGGGAGTTCCTCAGCACGGCTTCAGGCAGGGTGACTTAGAAACTCTGTGATGTACATTCACAAGAGGAAGGGTTAGGTGCTCAAGGTTCAAAGGTTAACAGCTACTGCCTTTGGCAGTTGGTGCTCTAAGACCCCAGCAGATCACAGAGACTCTTGGCTAATTTGTTGCCACAACGATTGAGGTATTGGAATTTGGAGATCTATTTACCTCCTCTTGGGACAGACAAATGACCCAATAGGCTCTCCAGGGAAAACACTAAGAGATCTGATGGAAAAGCTAAAGGACCTACATACCTACAGTTTATGTCTCGTTTCCCAAGAGTTGCCCTTCCATGGCCCTATTTTTAATTTAATTTTTTCCATCGATAATATATTTATTAAACCCAGTGTGTCCAAAATGTCATCTCCACAGGTAATTGATATAAAGATCATTAAAGAGATATTTTCCATTGTTTTTGGAGGGGGTACCAAGTCTTCAAAACCCAATATGTATTTTACATTTGCAGCAATCTCAACAAATACCACTTTTTCATCTACATATAGATACTTGATCTGTATGTAGATTTCATAAAGTTAAAGTTGAAAGAATAGATACAAAATTATGTCAGTCCAAATGAACTTAAACATTTTCTAGTAATGAATGACAACATTTTCATTAAAATGGAAGGCAATTACAAAATTGCATCTCTCAGTGACACTAGACACATTTCACATGTTCACTAGTTACATGGGGCTAGTTGCAATTTCTCAGCCAACCCGTGGTCAGTTGACAGGAGTCCATGCAAGGAAAGGAGTAGGAAGACATTCAGGTAGGTAGAACAGCCTGAGACCAGCATGCACCTGGCGTGAGCCTGGGACAGCATGGAAGCCAATTTGATTAGAACCAACAAGTCGAAAGGCAAGGTAGGGTGGATTGGGAAGGGTTTGGGTCTGGGGTTATGCGTTGGGGCTTTATGCCATCACTGAATGGGAACCACAGGAATGTTTTTTAGCCTGGGGGGGGGAGGGTAACGTGTGCTTTGTTTTGGTCAGTTCCCCTGGCACTGGTGCCCAGGAGGGTGAGGAGAGAGACTCCAGCCAGGGAGAGCAGACTGGAGAGGCTCTGGTGAGACAGGTGTGTGGGAACACACCTGGCTAGCATGAGGGCTAGTGTGAGATTGAATAGAGCCATCAGCAGACTTTACAAAGCCAGACTTGCAGGGCTTAGAAACCAACTGGGCTCTTTAGAGAAAGGGTGAGGAAAGGCAGAAACTGAGAGGTCTGGGCCTGTCTGCCTGGGAGACTGCGTGAACGCTGAGAGTTCAGAGAGTCGGGATGATTTCGCTGGTTAGATGGACAGCTGAACCCTACCCTGGAGTCTGTAGAGTTTTATGGATTTTTAAAACAATTGTATCATTTATAACACCCACCGCACCCACTGAATCACACAATGACCCTGGACTTTGAGTCTCAGAGATTATGAGAGACACTCCTTAGTTCTTTGAGGTGCTGGGTCCAGGCTGAAGCCTGGCCCTTCATTCTCCAATGTCGGGGCAGGGGGGAAGGGCTAAGAGGCCACCCCTCTCCTTCCTGGCTAGCTTTTACTTACCCCAACATCATCCCAGGAAAAACATTACTTCTTTTTTTTAATTGCCAGAAGATGAATGAAACCAGAGGGAGAGGGAAAGAAGGTAGAAAGCATCCCCTTCCCCCATGAGAGGTGGTCACACTGCAATCCCTTCTCCATTTTTCCATCCTGCCAGGATTTGGGGCACACACACAGGCTCAGTTTGTTTTGGAAGCTTTAAGGCCAGGATTTGATACACAGTCATGTGGGACCTGGCTCCCTTAACCACTAGGCCACGGGGCTGGCCTGGAAAAGCATTACTTCTCACACGGATTGAGAAGCTGTCATCCCTCCCCCTCCGCTCCACCAGTCCTCTGCTCTGAGTCTCTGTCAAGAGCAAGAGTCCCGGGACTGCTGGCACACAGGCCCTGACCCATGGACTGTGCTTTCTGTACCATGAAACATGCCCAGTACACTCCATGGGGAGGGCCGGTGCCTGCTCTGGGCCAGGACTGTGCTAGGAGCTGGGGAGATGAAGGAGAAAGCGCTTACACAGAGTTCATGGACTCTGGGACGTGGCCGACTGGCCAGCTAGCCACTGCTGGGCCGAGCACTCTGTGCCGTGATGGGGCAGAGACAGCCGCCCAGGGCTGTGAGAGTTAGAGTGTCTCAACCAGCCTGAGA